AGAGGAAGAGAAAGAAGCTTTTCCTAGCTGACGTAACTTAATGATATATTGCAGCTGTCCTATGATAATTACTTAAATCTCACTCATGAGAGGGTGTATCTCAGGTTCATGTTAGTCATACTGCCTGTGAGCAGGGGACAATGTTTCAGAACACTTACTGTCTTGCTTTCTGGACTGCACATAGCCAGAGGCCAGCAGCATGCCCAGCACACACCGCATCCCACAAGATGGCAGTGCCTCCACACAGACCATGCAGTGCTTTTAGACGCATCTGGTGACAGCACTTTTGCCACCTTCGCAGGCCTGCTGTGGAACAAAACGTCCCTGAAGCTTTCCCTACTCACACACACCGTTGTGCCCTCAGAGGTGCCATCAACATGGGATCAGCAGCCTTTCCACCACCCAAAAATAACTCTTATCCAAGCAATTTTTACACTCCCCAAGATTATTAACCTTATCACCAGATTGTTCCAAGTATGCTTTTTAAACACATTATTTACATAGTGGCTTTGTGTATAAGCAGAATATCTTCATATAGCCCTCAATTCCAGGTTATGTATTACTTCCTGATCCAAAATGTCTGAAAAATAAAAAGCTTAGACATGTTAATAGTGCTGCGGGGGATGCAGAGGCATTTTGAACAAAGGACAGACAGAGCAGATAGCTGGTGTATTGCTGAGGTTGCAAGAGAACTTTTGAAGCAGTGGTCTGGATCTCTGTAAGATGATTTGGCAGGGTGACTGGCAAAAGCCTTAGGCAAAAAGGGATATCTAAGAAGTAAGTGCAAGACAAATGTGCATGGTGATGGTATATGGGTACAAACTAGGTTGGGGGATCCAGTAGAAATGTGGGAGTGCTAGTGCTGTTGAATATTTATGAGGAGACTAAACACTGAATGACTGGTGGAAAAATTCTTCATGGTGTACTGGGACCTATCCCTTTTTTTTTGCCCTAATTTTTCCTTCCTCTGGATCATTGGTCCGGTAGAGAAACTTCCCAGTAATAAAGGATGCGGACGTACAGTGAGACGGGTGGACTTAAAGTCAGGGTTAAAGGGAATATAGCTATGGGAGACATTACTGTGGGGATCTGTTACAGACTGCCTGATCAAGGAGAACCTGCGGATGAAGCACTCTATAGACAGATAGGAAAAGCCTCACACTCGCAGGCCCTTGTTCTCATGGGGGACTTCAACCACCCTGACATCTGTTGGAAGGACGGTACGGCCCAGCACAAGCAATCCAGGAGGTTCTTCGATTGTGTAGAAGACAAATTCTTTCTGCAAGTAATAGAGGAGCTGACAAGGAGAGGTGCTGTACTTGACCTCGTGCTCACCAACAGGGAAGGGCTCGATGGAAATGTGACGCTCCAGGGCAGCCTTGGATGCAGCGATCATGAGGTGGTCAAACTTGAGATCCTCAGGACAGTGAGAAGAGCGTGCAGCAAGCTCACTGCCCTGGACTTCAAGAGAGCAGACTTTGGCCTCTTCAGGAACCTGCTTCGGAAGGTTCCATGGGATACAGCCCTAGAGGGTAGAGGGGCCCAAGACTGTTGGTTGATATTCAAGGATCACCTGCTGCAAGCTCAGGAGTGTTGCATCCCAACCAGAAAGAAGTGCAGCAGGAGGGCCAGGAGACCTCCTTGGATGGATAAGGAGCTGCTGAGGAAAATTCAAATGAAAAAAAGAGGCTTATAATAAGTGGAAGCAAGGACAGGTGGCATGGGAAGAGTACAGGGATGTTGTCCGGGAAGCTAGGGACCAGGTTAGGAAAGCTAAAGCCCAGTTAGAATTAAACTTAGCTAGAGGTATTAAAGATAACAGGAAGGGATTCTACAGGTACATAGCAAATAAAAAACAGACTAGGGAGAATGTAGGCCCCCTCAGGAAGCTCTCAGGAGAACTGGCTAAACAGGATTTGTAGAAGGCTGAGGTTCTGAATGACTTTTTTGCTTCAGTCTTCACTGCCAAAGGCTCTGACTGCACCACCCAAGTCTTGGAAGGCAGATGCAGGGACTGTGAGAATGAAGACCTTGGGCCCACTGTAGGAGAGGAACTGGTTCGAGACCATCTTAAAAATCTGAATGTGCACAAGTCCATGGGTCCTGATGAAATCCATCTGCGGGGTCCTGAAGGAGCTGGTGAATGAAGTTGCGAAGCCACTGGCCATCATATTTGAGAAATCATGGCAGTCAGGTGAAGTTCCTGATGACTGGAAAAAGGGAAATATAACCCCCATTTTCAAGAAGGGGAAAATGGATGACCCGTGGAATTACAGACTAGTAAGTCTCACCTCTGTGCCTGGCGAAATCTTGGAGCAGATTCTTCTGGATGGCATGCTAAGGCACATGAAAATCAACAAGGTGCTTGGTGACAGCCAGCATGGCTTCACTAAGGGGAAATCCTGCCTGACCAATTTGGTGGCCTTCTATGATGGGGCTACAGAACTGATGGACAGGGGTAGAGCAGTTGATGTCATCTACCTGGACTTGTGTAAAGCGTTCGACACTGTCCCACACAACATCCTTGTCTCTAAATTGGAGAGACATCAATTTGATGGATGGACCATTCGGTGGATAAAGAACTGGCTGGATGGCCGCACACAAAGAGTTGTGGTCAATGGCTCAATGTCCGGCTGGAGACCAGTAACGAGTGGTGTCCCTCAGGGATCGGTGTTGGGACCGGTCTTGTTCAACATCTTTGTCGCTGACATGGACAGTGGGATTGAGTGCGCCCTCAGCAAGTTTGCCGATGACACCAAGCTGTGTGGTTCGGTTGATACTCTGGAGGAAAGGAATGCCATCCAGAGGGACCTTGACACACTTGTGAGGTGGGCTGATGCCAACCTTATGAAGTTTAACCATGCCAAGTGCAAGGTCCTGCACCTGGGTCGGAGCAATCCCAGGCACAGCTACAGGTTGGGCAGAGAAGAGATTCAGAGCAGCCTTGAGGAGAAGGACTTGGGGGTGCTGGTTGATGAGAAATTGAACATGAGCCGGCTTCAGTGTGCGCTTGCAGCCCAGAAAGCCAAGCGTATCCTGGGCTGCATCAAAAGGAGAGCTTGACCAGCAGGTCGAAGGAGGTGATCCTGCCCCTCTACTCTGCTCTCGTGAGACCTCACTTGGAGCATTGTGTGCAGTTCTGGTGTCCTCAACACAAAAAGGACATGGAACTGTTGGAACAAGTCCAGAGGAGGGCCACGAGGATGATCAGGTGACTGGAGCACCTCCCGTATGAAGACAGGCTGAGGAAGTTGGAGTTGTTCAGCCTGGAGAAGAGAAGGCTGCGTGGAGACCTCATAGCAGCCTTCCAGTAGCTGAAGGGGGCCTATAGGGATGCTGGGGATGGACTCTTCATTAGAGACTGTAGTGATAGGACAAGGGGTAATGGGTTCAAACTTAAACAGGGGAAGTTTAGGTTGGATATAAGGAGGAAATTCTTTCCTGTTAGGGTGGTGAGGCACTGGAATGGGTTGCCCAGGGAGGTTGTGAATGCTCCATCCCTGGCAGTGTTCAAGACCAGGTTGGATGAGGCCTTGGGTGATATGATTTAGCGTAAGGTGTCCCTGCCCACGGCAGGGGGGTTGGAACTAGATGATCTGAAGGTCCTTTCCAACCCTAACGATTCTATGATTCTATGATTCTAAAGTCAAATGCAATCTATCCTGGGAGCTCAGCTAAGAAGTGGGAATTGCTGTGTGACACAAGATGGCTGATACATGCACCAAATAAATGACAAAGTTAGGTGGGAGAGAAAGAGAAGATTATACTGGGAGAAGAACACAATTATAAGTCTGGCCATTCTTTATGAAGTCTTAAATGAAACATCCAAACTGACGCAGTTCAAATTTACAAACTCACAACAGTTGTAATTATCACTTTCATTTTATAGATATACATCACACAAATGCGTTCACATCAGTGTGCTAGGCAACAAACATAAACAACACAGGACCAAAGGTTATTTTTACAAGAAGAAATTTATAAAGAGGTCAGAACAGACAAAATGTCACTTTATAGAGGTGTCTGATTAATTAATACAGATGGGTTAAATGCTTAATTAATACAGGACTGATCTGAATCATATTTAGAGAAATCTGGACAATTCATCTCTGCTCTAACAATGGAACTAGAGTTGAAGCACTTAAAATCAACAAAGAGGTTTCCACAAAGTCAAATGTCTCCTGGCCTAAGTGATTAACAAAGAGTAGAGCAAAATGGGGGTTTGGAGAATTACTTTTTGAAACCAAACTGATAAGTGCAGAAAGGCAGCAAGTCCTTGAATGACCATCATCTTTAGCAGTGCTTTCAAGTCTGAATGCAGGTTCTCCTGGGAATGTTCCTGTCTTGAAAAGAGCTGTAGCTGTGTCTAGTGTACCTTGTGTGTCCTTCCTTTACTTTTGGAGAGTTTGATGTACAGCCTAGCTCAGAAGAAAGAGGAAGGCCACCCAAAGAAGTGATGCAAGCACAACTTTGTTTCATTAGACCACACTGCTGTGTTGATAATTCTAACCCCAGAAACATCACTGAGAAAAGTGGTAATGAGATGAGAAATGATGGGCATTTCTGATTAATGAGATGAGAAATGATGAGATAATCACAATAATCCCAGCTGACTAGTCCTCAAAGGGAGGTCTTCCAAAAAGTGCAAAAAAAAAAAATACAGTTTAATTGTGTATTTCATTGATGGATCCAGCCAGTCTTCCAGGTTATGGTGGCAGAAGGTTCATTCCACCTACACAAGGATCAGCATCTGAGCAATAAGACTAGGTCTGTAAATTGTTCTGAGCTCAAGGTAGCCTAGCTGGCCTACTTCATTGACTGTGCTATAATTTCTTCCTTCATATGCACATAATCTACCTAATGTTCAGCTGCTCCATGGTTTCCCATGGGGAAGAAAGGGCTTGGAGTACTCTGGCCTAATTTAATCTCCCTGTTCAACAGGCATGGAATTAAAAAAAAACCCAAGCAGATGATATAACTTACTCTTTTCTTGTGTCACTCTTGAGACATCTTGAGATTCCTTTTAAAGGAGGTTGCTCCTCCATGGGTAGGTGTTTAGCATGTTTCTGTGTGTAATTCATATTAAGTTGTCTCAAGGTGTCTCAAAACAACTAGGAAAACATCACTAATCATTATGACAAACCCTTTTCACCATATAACCGTTTCAAATCGAGATTAGGAATAGTGCTCTAAAAATTGGAAATTTCAGGAAACACCAACAAAGACATGACAAACATGCTGGGCCTGGGAGGAGTTAACGTAGTTCCTTTTTACTGGGTGCTAACCTGTTGACTCGCACCAGCTTAAGGTCTTGCTTTTCCCAACAAAACCAGTCTATTTTATATGCTTAAGGAGATAAAGAACCAGTGTTGTGATACCAGTCTATACCAGGTGAGAAAAACAGCTCACTTTCAGGACAAGAAATTCACAGAAGGCTCTTGACACTATGGAAAGGATTCAAGACATGAAGGATTCAAGCTGGCAATCTTTCAGGTATTACAGTGTCACAGCAACTCATCCTGCTAGAAAAGCTCAAACAGAATTTACAACAATCTGTTACACAGATGTTTTCCTTTTTGGACTGTTTTTTTCGAGCAGTGATAACTGAGTGACATAGTTGACTGGACTATTTTCTCTGGAAAAAGTCTTGTGTTTGTGTGTGAAGTTCAGGTATTCTTGATACTGCCATTTGCATAATTGTTTCTTCAGTTCACTTTGAACCTATAGAAAAGAAAATTAAAACCAGAGAATTGGAAAATTAAGACTTAGTGGACTGTGAATGTAAAATATACCAAAATGTCTGCCTGACTACTTTGCCCAGATGTACAAAGGCACCCAAATCAGTTAGGATTAAATCTACACACATTTTTAGAACTTAAACTATGTCATTATTAACTTTTCAAAATAAACAGACTTACTTTCCAAAGTTCAGAGGATGACAAGACAGTTTTTGACTGAGGTTTCCTTGTTTACTGCGGTAAACTTCTTCATAAATATTTCTACTTTTTTGTATAATTTTTATTTTTCCTCATACTTAATCTTTGTGCCACCTTGCTGTGACCTGCTATATACAATAAGGGTTCTTCTCCAGGCTTTCAGTTTACGCAGATTGAAATCCCTGTTAAATATCCCTTACTGGCTCTGAAAGGTACTGAATTGACTTGAATACATTGCATTCGAGAGATGTCTTGGGAATCCTCAAAAGCATAAGCGAAACTGATTTTTTTTACCATCTGACACACAATGAACAACTAGATTGTACAACCCTGGAAGTCCATGGCCTGCTTTTAACACTGCTGTGGCAGGAGTGAGGGGCAGGTGGAAAGTAGCTTCTGTTGCCCTACATAAAGCAGCTCACACACAAAGTTGTGGCAGAAGGAGTGCAAGTAGTGCAAGAAACACCTGGTCCTTGCCACTGTTCACATAAGTAGTCTGTTCCTGTGGATTAATCCTGACGATTAATTGGTTGATGTTACCTCTGTTGATGTTCAGCTTCATCTCTATCTGCTCCTGCAAGGGCAGCAGCTTTCCTGAATGTCTACAAACTGACTTACAAATGGCATCCTAAACTAAGAAGATACATCAAATGCTCCTGGCCGCCCAGCTGCCATCTTCTGTGGCTAACATTAGTGCTGAAAATCTATTACAGTGTTAGAGTTGTAGCACAATTAGCACAAACCCATTCCAAATTAAATTAAAAAATAAACTGTTAAGTGAAAATATTAATTTTTACAGGGGATGGACAAATGTGATTTAAGTGCTCTGAATTTAGGAATTCATCTAGTAATTCTGTTATATATCCTCTATTAAGTATGATCTCTATAGTGTCATATAGAAAAGGTGGTGGGATGTGCAATACAACTTGGATATCAGTGCTCCCTGAAAGTCCCTGGAAATATTCATCACTGAGGTGCCCCTTATTCTGCCTTTATTTTCTCTGCTAACTATATGACATGCCAGTCCTGACGTAAAACTTCAGGTATGGGCAGAATATGCTCTCTGGAGCTTTGAAGACCCTAAAAATTAAGAGGGGCTTCCTCCACCATCCCACTACTCCAGTATTATCCCGGCAAGCTCAAGACCTTTCACCACTCCGATGTATAATACCAACCCTCAGTTTCATCCCATATAGAAACCACTTTGTTTGGCAGCAAAACAGTCTCTCACATTGTTGCAGACACTTAAAACTGAGGAAATACACACACATAGAAGAAATAATAATTATTTTTATGATTGTAGGAAGCCATAACAGATGCACTGCCAAACTGTAATGAGTGGACAATCTGCTCCAGAAGCAGTTATCCCTGAGCAGCATGAATGCAAGCCAACCCATACCACTTAAACCTGGGGCCAGAGATCACTCTCTGTGACATGTTTTAGACATTATTTGTCATTGGGTAGGGTTAATTTCACTTACATTTAGCTCCCCTTACAAGAAGTATCCAGTCTAAGCTACTAGGGAGTAGTGTGTCATTCTTCTCAACTAACCTACACACTTTTCTGAGGATGTGTTTTCACATTTTTGGAGAAAATGCAGACAAATTCAGCTAGGTTTTAAAAGTATAGGGTCTCTAAAATATACTACAGGAAATTTATCCAAATTCTCATATTATAAAAAAATATAAAGGAAGTGTTTGGAAAAACTACCGAAAATGCATGGATTTCCCTGGAAAAAGAGGAAGGGGAAGGGAAAGGGAAAGGAAAAGAAAAAGGGAAAGGGAAAGGGAAAGGAAAAGAAAAAAGGAAAGGGAAAGGGAAACGGAAACGGAAACGGAAAGGGAAAGGGAAAGGGAAAAAGAAAGAAACTCACTAGGACAAAATAAAGAAAGTAAGCAGTGTTACAAGATTTCCACTGAGACATCATCATGATAGCTATCAGATTTAAAGCAGAAAAAAGTCCCATGTCAGGGAATTCATCAACCATATGTAAAGGGTCATTGCTTCAAAACTTATTTTGTATTCATCAGAACTGTATGAATACAAATAAAGTCAGCAGAAGTACCAAGGGAAAAACAGATATTGGTACGCTATGCTTTCAGAAGTAGATCAAAGCACAGATCTTTTCCAGAAAAACAAGAGAGGCACACAAGCTTAAATGGTTTTGATAATCTTATGTACTTGCTACTCACCTCTGCATTTGAGAAGCAATATAGAAGAGCGACAACAAAACCCTAGGACAGGAAGGAGAAGGAGAAAAAAGCCAAACATCAGCATTAAAATGTAGAATCAGAGAAGAACATCAGGTTTCAGTCAAAATCTGAATAAGACAGCAAAAATTTCATATTTTCCATTGTTCCACTGAAATTTAGGTGATGTGGCAATATTTATTGGGTTTTCATAACAGAATTAAAATTTTCAATAGCTGGCAACACTATAATATTGTCCAAGATAATGTTCTGAATAGTGGTAAGACAAAATAAAAGAAACAGAGAAATATTAAAATAATAAATTCAGTACTGCTAAAGGATAAGGGCAAAGCAGTTTTTTATATATTATCCTTACTTTTTTATTCCTCTTATTATCACCTTTATTATATGTGGAATTAGTTTCAATTGGTTCACCCTAATCCATAGTGGTCTTCATGGCACTCTGTCATTGTTATTTAATAAAGGTAGATATTGTATTTGGGGAAAGGATTATTAAAATGAACTCTAAGTCAGAACTTAAAAGTAGTGTGAGATTTCAAATACAAAGGTAAGGAAACAAACAACAGAAAGAGGTGGTGAAGGAGTAAGATAGAATGTGCTTTGGATTTAAACACATTAACATCTGCTCTAATAACCAAAGTAAAATGTAAAGTTCCTGAGAGTGTGGTGTTTCAGATCATACCTTGTAGGACTGATAACCATTTTATTCAGCTTACCTGAAAAGAACCCAAGCCTAGCTCAACATAAAGGCGAGCTTCCAAGCCAGTGCTTTCTGGGAAAAATGCAAACACAATGTAGTGCACTCCAAAGAGGGGGATTAAGAGTAACGTGGATTTAGCAAGTCTCCTGTCAAACCAAGAATTAAAGAACAATGCACTGTCAGAAATATGGAATTAGTGATAGCAGTTGGACCAAATTTTAATGCAGAGGACAGTTCCATAATGGAAGCAACGACATCCAACAAAGTTACAGAAAGATTGCTTTCTGCTACCCATACTGTCAACACCTGGTGAAAAACAAGATGAACAAATCAGCATGCAAGTTTTCTGGGTTGACCTTGAAGGGTTCTTCTCCCTGCTATACATGCAAAAACAGGGGGACCAAACTGAGTACTATGATCAATTACCCTGAGATTAACCTCAATCACATGTAGGCATCCCCCAATAGAAGTGTCTCAACTTCCAAAACTGCCAATGGAGATGTAATCATCAGTGTCTATAGGAGCTGATTCAGTTGCTTATAAACAGTGGTGGTGTAGCCACTGGTGATGCCCTTGGGCATTCTGCTTGGCCTTCAGCTCACTCCAGAAGGGTACAGGTTTGTGCTAGGTCCTGTGACATAACTAACATCTATCCCTACATATCTTTAGATGAGTTAAACAGCTCACTAGACTCCACTGATGAGAGCTCCATTAATTATGAAGGGGTTTGTAAATAGGAAGGGCTAGGTTCAGTTACCAGCACATCATCTTCACATTGTTTCTAAAAGTTTAAAGGAAATTATCTTCATCTTTCTCTGTGTGGTGATTTGTGTGGAAAGGACTAGAAGCAAAATGGATTACCTGACATTCAGTGTTTGCACTTTCAAGCAACAACTCCTTTTGGAGTTGTACTTCATGTTTTGCTTTTCTCTTTGTCCCCATCGTATCCAACCCACCCTTCTCCCCTTGAAGGAAAAGAGAGAGGTGATATTTTGGATGAAAAAGAACGTTTACATTGTTATTTCTTCTGGGGATTTCTTTTTCTGTTAATAAGGAGTAGAACATTTTGTGTTCCTGACCATAAAACATTTCTTAGAATTTCATAGAACAGGCCAATATCAAGAGACCCAGAAACACTTACACAAAGTGGCTTGAATGGCTCCCTCCTCCCTCTTGAGATTTCAATTTGTGGACTAGAATTCTGATCACATTAATAAATATAATAAAGTTAATCTGAAAAACAAGACAATATCTGTAAACTTACTGCAAATCAGTTGATCTCTTCAGTTGATACAAATTAACTAAAAATCCCCAGCCATAGGAATTGCACTGCTATAAACCAGTGAAGGTCTGCTCTCAGATCAATTCAATTGCATTAGAAACAATATTATTTTTTCTCAGAAAAATATATATAAAGATATGCTGAAAGCTATATTGAATTAATATAGACCTACATACCTCAGTATTGGTTTATATGTGATATTAACTCTGTACTTGTCAGCACCTAGCAGATTTTATGTGGTCTAATCAGCACCTTCTATTCCCTTCATTGTCTATGACAGGGATTATACCAGATACAGAGGAGTGACATACTGTTTCCTCCCTAAATTTGCATAAAATAAACTTATGCATAAAGGGAATCTTTTGTCTTAAGTTTACAACCTAAGAATTTATTTTAAAAATAAACTACATAAAATTATCTGTATGTATTTCCTGTACTAATCCAGCTTCATATTAGCTAATAATTTTGCTGGTATGGATTGTCTTTCTTCAGTAATGACTTACAGAGACACGGGCAAAAATGTCAAGATGGTTTCATTATGTCATACCATGACTCTAGAAAATATAGGATTTAGTCTTTAGGTTGTGATTTAGGGTACACAAGAACAAACCCACATGCTATACAATAATTTCCATCTTTTTGAAATTCAGCACCATAGCATGTGCTATTGCTTTTCCCAGCTTGCTGACAGGAGGCACTAACTTAGATTTCACATTTCAAAAGATATTCAAGACAAAATGAAAACATACTAGTACAGTTAGCAGAATGGGACCTTTGATGATCCATAACACTACTCCACTTTCATCGTCATCCCAACATCTGAAACAGTAAACAAGACCAGTCATGTTATCTGTCCCATGTGAGCTTTCCGTAACACATGAAAGTATTTCTGTCACAGAATAGGAAAGTGATGGACACTAAGTTCTAAATTACCATTTAAAGACCGCTGCCAGTACTGGTACTCTGAAAGCTCTCTCAATATTTCTGTGCAGCCCAATCTAAAGGAAGTTTATTCAGTAAGAAGCAAGGGTTAAAGAACCAAAGCAAAGTCAAGAAATGAACATTTGTATTTTCAGGCTTCTTTCCTGCTTTTCTGTTAAAGAAGTGACTAGTTTACAGAGTACAGATCAGAGACTAAGCTACTGTGCATTCATGAATGTAATGACCTTGTGCTCATGAGGAAATAGACAAGAAAAACCTAAAGCCCTAGAAAAGATACCCTAAAGGAAGGGAGAAGAATGGTCTTTTGGCCAAAACAGCCTGTTTCGAGATTCATGTATTTAACCGCAATAACAGTTCAATTTAACTCCCTCCAGTCATATGCCATACATGTTAGGTTGTATCATAGAATCATAGAATAGTTAGGATTGGAAAGGACCTCAAGATCATCTAGTTCCAACCCCCCTGCCATGGGCAGGGACACCTCACACTAAATCATATCGCCCAAGGCCTCATCCAGCCTGGTCTTGAACACTGCCAGGGATGGAGCATTCACTGCTTCCATGGGCAACCTATTCCAGTGCCTCACCAACCTTACAGTAAAGAACTTTCTCCTTATATCCAATCTAAACTTCCCCTGTTTAAGTTTTAACCTGTTACCCCTTGTCCTATCACTACAGTCCCTAAGAGTCCCTCCTCAGGATCCCTATAGCCCCCCTTCAGATATTGGAAGGCTGCTATGAGGTCTCCATGCAGCCTTCTCTTCTCCAGGCTGAACAGCCCCAACTTTCTCAGCCTGTCTTCACACTTCAGAGCAGCTTTTAGTAAACAATTTCCTGCTTTATAACTGGCTCTCATATTGAAAGAGAATGGAAAAAAAGAACCAAAACCAAATTCATCAGGACATAATATGTTTTCTGGAAGGTAATTATTTGAAGAGATTAGTGTTACTAAATTGTGGCTGATTTTATATAGAAGTATATATTTCAAAGACTGCATATTAGGAAACTACATGAAATTCAATACTTACTATTATATTTCCAGGTTTCATTACTCCACATATGCATATCAAAATCAAGATTTTCTGTCACTTGCTTATGAAGTGCAAAGTTGAAACGCACAACTTTGGAAATTTTTTTTTCTTTTTTTGTTTTTTATGTGTATTCCTCCCCCCTCCCCCCCCCCCAAAAAAAAAAAAAAAAAAGCCAACAACAACAACAACAAAAGCGCCTCCTTAGTGAAGCTCTGACTTACCCGGTATTTTGTTGGTTTATTCGTGTGAGGACCCAAGCAAACATCACAGCAGTGGGAGCCCCTGAATAAATCAATATTGAACACATAATTTTCTGAACACTGTGTCCCATAGAAACTTTTTCCCAAGACTGTTCACAGTGCAGCAGATTGGATAAACATTAAAGGTCAAACAATGGGTCAGAAAATTTTAAATAACTTTATGAAAGAACTTAACTTGCAGTTCAAGGAAAGAAAAGAAAAGGCAGAAGAATGAAGTCAAGACGAAGAAGAATAGGGGATGCTGCGAAATGGTGTTTTCAAAATTAACAGCTAAGAATTGCTGGAAGGTTTGGATATGAATTACAAGCACTTGTGAAGCTGGAGAAACCACTCATTTAGTTAGAGCTCCTTTATCTTATAGATTGTGGCCAGCATACAACTCTTTGCACTAGCTGGAATAGTTCATATTTTTGCCCCAGGCAGCCTCTACTAATCACTCTAGACCCATAAACTGGTGAGCATTCCATGAAAGTTTAGCTAAACCCAAGAACTGGTGCTTTCTAGCCTCACTTTATTACTGCTTATCCTTCTTCTTTATGACTAAAAAGTTCTTTCTCTTTTTTCCTTTTTTCAAGCAGTTAGTTTATAACTAACAATTGCTTTTGCTTTTCTTCTGTGGAATTACATTTCTAAAGACTAAGTGACTTTCAAAGCTGCTACAAAAAGGACTATAATCTGAGGCAGGTGACATTTTCACTGATAAATCTATAGAAATATCAGTAATATCTTTCTAAGTATCATTTGAGAACTGTAGGAAAGGCCCAGAAGTCGACCTTCCTAATTTTAGACCCTTATTTAAGGCCTTTAAGATGGGACTATATTCAGTTCAAATTGTCTTTGTAATTAATGAAGAGAACTATCTACATCCGTATCACCTAACACAAGTTGCCTCTGAGATGTCTCATTTTGCATTGATTAAAGAAGGAGATGAAGATTACTACATTATTAATTGAGATGTTTCCTTTGTTATCTCAAGTTAGATGAGATTTATCGAGGTTTAAGCATCTAGGTTCAGGCAAACATAATTGGAACAGCTCCAAAAAATTTAATTATATTATAAAAGTCTTAGAATATGAAGATGAAGGATAAATTACTATTTGATTCAGGAGAATCTAGATTTCACTTCAAGCCAAAATATGCCAATGTGACTACTCAGTTTGGATGCCTCTATTTTAGAATAGCCAAGGTGAGGTATAAGGATATCTAAGATTCGCAATAAACAATTCTACAGTGAAAGATATTTTATGTATTACGTGCACATATTCTGACAATCAGAGATAACTTTAATTGTTGCATAAAACCAGAAGATTCCTAAAAGCCAGAAGCTTTCTATTTTGGAAAAAAAAAAATGTTGATGTCTAGGCATGAAGTCACATAATTTAAGATGAATCTATCTAATTCTGCACACTAAAAGCAAAATGGCAACTTAATGTTAGTCACCCACATTTCTTCAGTCAGTAGAGGAAGGCAACATGTTTCCAAGATGTTATCTAGCCACATTACTCACATTCTTGAGGACTGGATTAATCACCACCACAGCATGCATACCTCACTCTACTGACTGCAGGAGAAACCTAGATAGATAGTTTAAATTAGATGGTTACATTTTAAATTACTATAGTTGCATGAAATTGCTTCCAGTCATAAAGATGAGTGCTGCAGTGTTTTGAGTAGGCATATCATAGTGCTTCTAGTAATCCATCCTATCCTCTCCTTCAATATTTTGAACAGTATAAAAAGATGAGAAGAAAGACAGTATAATGGTATGGTTTTTGTAGTAGTACTGCATGAATGGGCAACTTCCACTGGAAAGGTGGCACATTTTACAGATGCCTTGAATCTCAGAACAAGTATTTTCTCTAGTTCTGAAAGTAAGTCAAAATACTGCATAACACACACAGAAAATGAGTACTAACCCCAGCCAGTAAATATGAACCACCATACATACTGCTTGTCCGAAACAAAGGTTAACAAAAGCAGTGTTTGCAGGTAAATCCCTTCTATAAGAAGCCAGAAGAAATTGGCTAAAACACTGAACTGGAAGAATGCCATAGCAGCCTTACAAGCAACCTGGAAGTGCAGAAGAAGAAAAACTATTAGGTCTACTTTCCATTGTGTCTGGTTTCGCTACAAGTGCAAGCAAAATTCACTGTTACCACACAAGAATGAAGAAATAATTACAATATTTCAGTAAGTTTGAAATTCCATAATTTCATTTGGCTTTTTTTTTTTAAAGGGAAATATTGTCTCTCTCTTATAAATAAAATTCTTTATTAATAGAAATTTTTACAGCTTCATTAGAGAGGACAGACCCGCACCTTATATAACAAAGCTGAGTGTAGTCATAGCACTTCATCTTTAGTTTTTTTAATATTGTTTGTTTTAAGATTTCAGTTCTAGCAAACTAAAGAGAAATGGGATTAAGAAATCTCCATGTTATCTTCAGGTAAAGAATTAAATGTTATCTCAAGGATAAAAAAGACTGTAAGTTAGTACCGTTGACATTATGCAGTGGTCCATAGTTTCATCTGCAAACAAAACGGCATCTTTGGTGAAAACAGCAATTGCTCTCAGGATAAAGGAGACAAACAGGTGCATATGGATGTAATTCCGTGTACAGTGGAATTTTCTGACATGGAAAGAGAAAACAAAAATTGTTCTTCAAGAGAAATTTCTTATGGTCTCATCAAAACTCAGGAACACGTGACTGCAGACATCTACCAAAGCAAATAAATGGCCTGCCACTGTTTGAGAGGGAGCTAGAAATAAGGGAGCAGACGAGTTATTATTTGTTGGCACTTAGGGACATGGCTTAGTGGTGACCTTCACTGTGTTAGGTTAACGGCTGGACTCAATGATCTTAAAGGTCTTTTCCAACCTACATGATTCTATGATTCTATTTCTCTAGACTTCCCTCCCCACAGTTTTACCTGTTGGAATCTCCTTCAAGGTTTGAACATATCAGCCTCTTGGTCCTGGGGCCCTCTATAAATGATATGAACTTTGAGACTCCCAATCCTCTCCAGTTAAGAAGCTGATTCTGTGCTCTGCACTCCCACCTGCAGAGCAAGCTTAAAGCTTTTGTCCAAGCACATTGGAACTAAACAAAACCAGGATCCATTTCCTAACATCCAACATCATCAAACATGACATTTAAATTTTTTAAATTTCTTTCTATAGCTCCCAGTTATGGAAGTAATGTTTTTTCACAGAGGGAATGGACAGACTAGAATAACTTCTGGTTCAGGCGTAGAAGACAGTTTCTGCAGAGTATGTCCTGCTACGCGCTGGAGGAATTGTGTTAATAGTGATAACAGATTGGAGCATTTTCACTGTATGCTGTCATTAAAAAGACTAGGACAAACTGCCCAGGCAGTTTTAACATCTGCAGGGAAATGCTACAACATGGAGAAGGACTCATTGTCATCAACAGTGTTTATGCCTGAGAAGGACTTGAAAATGGCAATTAAAAAGTCCCATAAAACAAAAAGTACTTTGAGAAGTACGATGAGGCTGTTTTAAGTCATCCTGGAAAAGAGACCATTGCTTTTTACCTGAAGGCAGCAAAGACAATTAGAGCTGTAATGAGTGAAGTCACTGATGCTGCATAGCCAGCAGTGTAGACACGCCAAAATGCAGAATAATATGATTTCTACAAGAAAAAGAGAACACAGACCAGTGCTGGTGGTTATGCAGCATGCATGTGGGTGTGCTTATTTCACTGAGATACATTTTCCCTTACTAGTCAGTTTCACCACTTATGCACAGCTTTGTGTGCTGGAGATCTGCTTCAGGTTTTTTCCTCCATTGCTAACACATTTTTTTTATCTCTTGAATACTAATAAACCTTAGAGACAGGTTTCACAGCCCACAGGTTCATCTGCAGTAGTGACCCGTTTGAGCAAGTTCAATAGGAAAGTGTTAACTTTATTAAGTAAGTACATTTTCTTCTATAGGTACATGAAGACTCTAGGGCACTGCTAAAGTGACTGAATCCATCACTTTAGAACAGGGCCAGATTCAATAAGTATTGGTTTTCATAAACAGCTATAGCTAAAAGAGAAGTAAGACTTGCATTTTGAAGGAGACGAAACTGTGTATTGTGTAGGTAAGAAAGTTTAAGTCAAGAAAATAGCTTCACAGTCTTTAATTCTTTGGACGAACAGTTCACCAAGTTGCTCTATACTGTAACACTGTAAATTCTTTATAGTTTATTTGTTTATTTGTTTTGCATTTAAACATCCTATGTCCTAAGAAAAATGCCTATGTTGCTTTATCTGTGAAAATTTTATTCTGATTCACTACATGATCACCTAATTATTTAAAATCCCAAGAAATTAATTCTCTGAATCCAGGGAAATTTCCTCCTTGAAAATGCAATGGACACTTTGTTCTTTAGTTGATCCGAACTTTTGTTTATCCAAAAGGCAACAATTCTGGTTTTAGACAACCAATTAGCAATTTTAAGTATACCCATAAATAAATTATGCAACCCTGACAAACTAGGAATAATCCTGTATTTCTGAAATAGACCTAATCTTTCATAAAGTATTTTCAAAATGCAGGTGAAAATTAGATAATAGATTCTTCAACTGAAAATGAAGTATTTTGATGCATTTTATCTGGTTTTGTAGGGCAGCTAGAAAAGCAACTGTATATACAGAAAATACCATAAGTCCTCACTGCACACACAAAATACTCTTAGAATATAAGTGGCATTCTTCGTACTTATTTCCCTGCGTTTACAAGTAAAATTACTGATTTTATCTTCCTTTTGTAGACCTTGCAGATTTGACTAGAGTAATGAAATGAACACAGTCACAGCACAGACACGAGTTCTGCCTTGAAATCTTCTGTAATGTTAAAATACAAATGTAGTTACTTGCTTGATTTCAGCCTAGGCCTGCTATGAACTATGCCTGGCTTAGCACAGTCCAGGGACTGCTTGGAGAAAGCCACCCTGGAGAGTAAGAGTTTAGCTCTGTGGGTGAAAAGCATGCAATGGCAGCTGGCCCTGAGGGGCTTGAGAACTCTGTTCCAGAATACATGCCTCCTTATGAATCTTACATCCCTTCTGAACTCTTTTTGTGGTTTTCAAAATATTTCCAGAATATTTTTATGCATTTATCTTTCTAGCTTCCCCACGGTGTAAAGAAGTACAAATATACTTAGTTTATGGGTGGTGAATTGAGTTACAGATATCTATATCACCTGTTACAGTTGTGCTTGAGTTTCTAATTTTATGGAGCCAAACGGCTGAAGCTAATTCTGTCTACAGTTCCTAAATATTTGAATACTTGAACTGTTACTTCTGTGCTTGAGCTTGCATGCCTGGAGAACCAAAGGGTTTACTCCAGATAACAGCAAGAGTGTTAATGATGACAACCCTCTTCACATTTCTGTGTCTTGCATTGCCTAGTGATAAATGACCTTTTCCCCTGTTGAATCATGACTGCACACTCACAACAGGCAGTATGAGTCAGTCTTTTATTTTGTAGATTGGAGAGAGTCCACTGTTTCTATCAAAATACCACAGCAGGAGGAGGAGGCAATGATGTACCAGCACTCAAAGGCACATCTTTGTCAATCAACAACCTTCAACAGTAAGATAAAGCTCACCACTGAGGCACTACCATTGCCAAGGAAGAGTGAAGCATTTCTATCCTGGGACCAAATATGATGATGAGGACCACAGAAATTTTATATGAAGATATGGGTAAAAAGAAATACTGCTAGAGCCAAATTGAGTACCAGTTATGATCATCAGATAGGAAAAATAGGGGTTCACTTCCTATTTCTTATGATAGTGTGGAAATATTCAATGGCATCCAGGAGTTCCCTCCTAAAGATATGCATTGACCATAGTGCTATAAAGTTATGGAATCTTTTTTCTCTGACTCAAAGAACATCTAGAAAAAAATCAACAGGAGGGATCCAAAAGAACTTTCCCTGAAAAATTTCCCTAAACAGTTTGGTAGGACTTTCATGAGAGATGGGTGCATGATGAGGATTCAAATCATCTCTGTCAGAGAACCTCAGTCCTTGTTAAGAAGGACAAGTGAACTAAACATGAGTCTATTCTTTGACAGCAACAGGGGACAACTGGACAGAGAAGAAAGTGCTGCCTGTTACTCCCTTGCTTCATATTAAGCCTAATTTACTAAACAGCCTGTAAATATACCTAAAAGTATTGATCTTAGCACTCAAGATAGGTAATTACTGGATTCTTAACAGTGCCTAGATGTGTGGGAGCATCCAGCTTCTCAGCACATTCAGAAGAGGGTGCTCTGGAGATGTTCACAAGTAAGAAATAAAAAACTCACCTGATCCTCAGGCCCTTTACTGGAACCTTCATCAAATCCACAGGCAATGGTGTACGGTGGGAATGGTTCTGACCAATATGCCTCCTGTGTACAGTTTCTCTGAAGGAAACCTTTAATGGTAAAATATATCAGAGACTGAATTATGCGGGGGGGGAGTGGGGGGGGGTGGGGGGTGTAATTTCTTATGAGAAAAAACAGATTTTTATACCTACTTTGATCCTGTAGCTAGGCTAGTCATGTTCAACTAGATTAGCTATAGATTTATAATATTCTATGTATCTACTGTCTAAAAAGTTGAGAGATTCCCATTCATTTCAAGATGCAGTGGAACTCGTACATTTCATATAGGAAGTTAATTCTGCAAATTCAATCCTTACACAGAGGAAATAAAATTATGCAGTCTATCCTGCGTTTACAACATAATTTGTATTTGCAGACAAAACCCATGTCATCTAGCTTTGAAGTTACATACAATTCTTTAACTGTTCTGACTGGAGGATTGGATTAGATGACCTAGTGTTCAGCCTGGAGAAGAGAAGGCTGCGTGGAGACCTCATAGCAGCCTTCCAGTATCTGAAGGGGGTCTATAGGGATGCTGGGGAGTGACTATTTGTTAGGGACTGTCATGATAGGACAAGGGGTAACGGGTTCAAACTTAAACAGGGGAAGTTTAGATTGGATATAAGGAGGAAATTCTTTCCTGTTAGGGTGGTGAGGCACTGGAATAGGTTGCCCAGGGAGGCTGTGAATGCTCCATCCCTAGCAGTGTTCAAGGGCAGGTTGGACGAGGCCTTGGGTGATATGATTTAGTGCGAGGTGTCCCTGCCCATGGCAGGGGGATTGGAACTAGATAGTCCTTTCCAACCCTAACTATTCTAAGATTCTATGATTCTGTGACCTCAAAAGGTCCTTTCTAACAGCAATTATTCTATGACTTTATAAATCAGTGATTCTATGATATATTTCTTTATAACCTTAGCAATGTGCTGCAATTACCTATAATTTTGAGAGCACCTTTAGCTGTGTAGTTTGGACTAGACAATTTAGTGCAGAATAACATAAATCAAAAACATGCCAAATATTGACCATAAGCCAAGATTCACATCTGGATAATTATTGTATGTCAACTGATAAAAGATAACATTGTGAATCAGGAAAATAAGCAAGTTACTAAATCTTTAACTATTAGAATTTATTTTAAAAATATGTAGAGATAAAAACAAAAAGAAAAAAGTCTTGCCATGGATATTGGTGATTTCTTCAAAAAATCTTGGACAGGGAACTTTAACCACTTCCCCAAAAGCGGCTGTGGGCCAGCAGGTTAGGCCATCCCAATCTCTGGCACATCCTGGGGGAAAAAAAAGTGCCTCTAAATAAATACACACACAGAGAATATCACGTTTGATCTTCCATAATTAGATTACCTGAGACTTTCCCACAAATTCACATGCAAAAAGAGACAAAACAGGACATGCAGCTCTGCAAATGAATGATTGTATTGTTTTCCTCTTCTCCTTGAATACATCGTTGTTCACACATGTGCTTAGCATTCCAGCTGGACCTTCCCTCACCTTATCTCATGAGAGAATGCACCCAAAATTCAAGCAGACACTATCCAAAAGTCAAATCAACTGAAGGTTTTTTTATTGTCAAAAGAAAAGTCACCAAATCAAAATAATGAGTAATTCTTAGCACTTGAGATTTCTTATTACTAGTTTCAGAGTCTAACTGAAAAACATCAGATTTAAAACTTCAGCCTTAGTCTCTTCATTCCATGCTTAAAGTCTACCAGTTTCGCCTGATATAAAGGAGCTGAAGTCCTGGTCATAGGCAATCAATGCATGTTTATAACGGATTTCAACAGGGATTAGATTCATCCCAAACTAGAAGAACATCTCCCAGCATCATATAAAATAACCATCACGTAGGTCTGGCTGGTGGGCCTTCACAGGGTTCCCTATATGAAAGATTGCTAGCTGATAACAGAGGGCATGCTACTAGCTACGAGTCTGATAAAATGTGATTTTGGAAATTATATTTAATCACAGCTTTGTCATGGATGCATCTCATTGAGACTCAAGCTGTGATCTTGCAGTTTTTTTTTGGCAAATAGGTGTAGGTGCAGCACAGAAAAATTATCAGCATGTAAAGGTGCCTGAACCTATAAATAAAAGTCACTGCACTGTAACCAAAACTAATCTCTAGGTAGTTGTAAGGTGGATGTAAAGCAGTGCATGAGTTTCATTTGGGAGGTGTAATTTCCTTTCACCGATTCTTTTCTGTTCCCTCTGTGACTGATGACAAGGCAAACCTAAAATTGTCAAGAACTGAAATGTGGAAGCAATATTACTTGCCTGTAGCTGAACAAAGTTACTCTCTGGCTTCTGAAAAGATAGTCCTGAAAATCTCCCACAGCTTTACCCTCACGTTGCCTTTGGGAGGATGAAATTCCTGGTATACCCAATTTGCCAGATGAGAAAAAAGAAACCCTGATTCGTTATATCTAATTTTAATTGTCTAAAATATGTTAGCTAATCTTAGCTATGTTCCCTCTATAATCAGTTGAAAGAGACAGGGACTTCCAGTGCATGATTCATCCCATATACTGGAGGCTCCTTTCTGACAGCAGGATGAATCACTCACTGGAAATACCTAGGTCTTTCTGATGATTATAGTCTTAACTAGACTGCTAATTTTCAGATTAATAAAGACAGGTAATATGAATCCCAGTTAGACATGCAGTGGCCCACGCACTTAGACTTACAGACTTAAAGGGTCACTCTTAGAGAGACTGTTCTACATTTGATGAGTTGGGTCTAAAAATCTATTGTAAATGGTAATATGTGCTTAAACCAAGAATCAGGTGACCTTATGTAGGAGTGGGATGTGCATGTTTTAAGTCCTAGATCTGGTTTCATTTTCGGTGACTTCTTTTACACACCAAGGTTTTCAAGAGATAAGTGATAGCCCAAGCCACCTGAGACTCCATAAAGACAACTGCAGTAAAAATTGTATTAACGTATTAAGTAACGTTGACATCATAGATTTTTCAATAATCCGGGGCTCTTCTTTTTTTTTGTGTGGAGGCTTTTTTTTTTGTTTGTTTGGTTGGTTTTAGACAATGGAGAAAAATAAGTATTTTTAGAGCTTGATTCAGTGGGTCCATTTTACACATCTACTTTGAGTTGAGAAGAATTGCACCCTGGGGTCTACTGATAAAATTCATTAGACTTAGCTCTGTGTAACAAGAATAATATGGAACTACTTTAGATTAAAAGTTCTGCAACATAAACTAATTCCAGCACAGCTTATCTATGACTACTGAGAAGTAACTGCACAACTGTGATTCTTCAGCTTGTCTCAATCAGCTCCTGAAAACTGAAATGCAAGCTAGAGACTTTTATCAATCTTAGCCTAACTTTAAAATACTCCAGAGAAAATATTTTTGCAAAAAAAGCATTTTCACCACATTGGAATGATTCCCAGCACAATACAATTTCAGCATGCTTTTCGTTGTTTTCTGTGGAAGCTTCTTTGGAGTTTTGGATATAAATAAAACCCACACCAAATAATTTAGGATTGCAAGATATTCCAGGTAGGGTTTACCTGCCCTAATTAAGCATTAAAACTCATCAGGGTTTGAAACAATTATCTTTGTCTCATTCCATAGTTAGTAGATAAAATTTACTCCAGAGAAAAATTAATCCCATTCTAAAGTAAACATCTAAACCAAAGGCAATCAAGCATGTTCTGACTTAAGACACTGAGCTTTTAAAAATGTCTAAAATGAGATGACGTAAAGTCCCATCCTATAGAAGAAGCACCTACTACTGTTAAGAAACCAAATAAAAAAGGAACCAAGTCTTGACTCAGGAGAACATCTACACATAGTGCCCCTGAAATGATATAGAAGGGATATTCATATCAGAGCTTAGCAATCAGGACTGTTACCTTTAAGATCAGGTGAAAGAGAGTCATTCTTTTCTAAGCAGAGAGCCTCCTCTTTGACCACTTGCTGGAATATCTTGCATTCTGGATGGATTCCCACAACCTCAATGAGAAAAACACAAAAAACCACACAAAGTTCTGTGATTACTGGAATGAGAATGAATGGATCATTGGAATGAGGTTTCTTTCCATTTTTTATATGTTGTGGCTGCTAGTTTGAGGTTTAAAAATGTGAAAACTACAGGAGAAGATGTGTCTGCAAATAGGACATGTAAACATTAGAAGGAGGCTGCAATCTCATATGTTTGTCAATTTGTATACACATCTGCATATGCATAGGTGTATGGATTCCTCAGTGTATTGTAATAGTCAAGCTCAGTAACACCTCTTTTCCAGGTTGCATATTTCTACCACCTCCTTTTTATACCAATGATTTTCCACAAAACTTAAATGGATTTCGTGAATGGGAATACTCACACTGAGTCCCCCAAATGTACATGCAGTCTGACCATATAGATATTTATTCCCCACAAACCAAATTAAAATACATACATTTCTTTAAAGATACATGTTTGCTTGTTTGTTTGGGGATTTTTAGATAATTATTTTGGGGGTTCAGAACTACCCATTGGCAAAATATTCCTATTTTGATTCTTGGGAGTTCCCAAGAATTAAGTTTTCTTTATTGAAGGAATTAGCCATAACAATAAAGTCTTAATTATATTTCAGGAAGGTGTGCCTACTCTGCTTTGACACTGATACTAACAGAATGGGCTCCTGGTCTTCTTTGAAAATTTGAGATTTTAGTGGCATACAAATGAGACTACTGAGAGAGCAGGGTGTAAGCTCTTCCCTTCTGAATGCAGTCGGCATAATTATAAAAACAGAAGCAATATATAGGGAAGAAGTTTTATGTCTGTTGTATACTTAAATAAGAAATCCAGAAGTTCAAGAATAGATAAAATAGAAAAATGGTAATCTTGGTCATAGTTTAATATGAGTGATCGCAAAATTTTACCAACATATTATATGAGGATGCTACATACTCCTTAGACAGAGGCAATGTTTCCATTTTATCAGGTGAAGAAATGAGAAAATTTAAGAACTTGTATGGGGAGTTTAAGTAATTATATTTATCTCACAGATTAAGATACCTACATTTAAACACATAAATGGATTTCTAGGCATCAGTTGTTGGATATGGGCTAGATTCATCTTCCTAACTACAGATACTTGTGTCTATACTACTACAATGACTAGTGTCATTTAGGTGCTGTCAAGTTTTTTGCTTGACCTTCATCTCCCACTCCAGAAAGTTTCATGTCCCCTTTAGTCCTTCATCATGTCTGTGACTGTGAAGATGTTCTTAATGCATCCCGAATTATTGTCTCTGGAAAGGCAATTCAATTCTAAGAAGGAATCTACAATGTCAGTATCTATGTGTGATCTTGTTATCTGAGCTTCTTTTGCAGTACATGGAAAAGGAATGCTTCGTGCTGTTTGGGATGCTGCAGGGTATCTCAGTATCTCAGTCCTCTTCTGTACACTCTGTATTAATTTTGCCAGCCCCATGTAGAAGTCTCAAGTGCTTTATTTGATGTCTCAAATATTTCTACATACCCACATTAAGTAACTGAATTAGACACAAAATCAAAAGAGTCAATAGAGTCTGCAAAGCAACTGGAATGTAATCAGACAACTGAATACTGCATCAAAGCCTCCTTTGGGATATTGGGATCTTCAGCACATAGGAAGTCTTATATGGAATAGAGCTCTTTTGCAAGCTATGCTATTCAAGGCAGAGAGAGGGGCTCAGAGGGTAGTGATTTTAACAGAAATGATGGATTGAAGGCTTTCTGAGACATTTCTGAGGAAGAATGTAGGCCATTCTAAACCTCTAATGACTTTGAAAACACAGTACAGAAGAAAATATCACTGCTATATTGCCTTTTCAGTCTCAGGAATTTGATTTATCAGCCTTCAGAATCTTTCCAGTAAGCAGTGCAACCAGGACTTCTTTCAGCCTCCACAGAAACTTTACTTGAAGCCATGCAGACTTTTACATGTTAGCAGTGATATCTGCTGAGGGGAAAGAAAAAAACAAAAAAACCCACAACTATCTTTTTAAACCTTTAAAAATACTGCCTACATTTGGATTTCAAAGTAGCATAGACAGACTACTTTTAATTATGAGGCCCTAGACATGGTTTGTACCTCTTAATATTAGAACAGAAAGAGGATTAAGGATGCTGTTTGAAAAGAAAATTGAGACATGGCCTTTTGCATGCATTGTATTCCTCTAGTAGGTAATTTCAAATACATTTAAAAATTAGCATAAGTCACTCTTAAAATAGTACTTCTTGCTTTTCAACTATCATAACACAATTCTAAAATGAAATTTTTCAGGTATTAATAGGATCCCTGCTCATTGCTTTATCTTAACATATATTTCACTTTAAAGTCAGCCTACATAACGAATGAATTATTTGAGTAGTAGTAACAAAATGATTGTTGTGTACATATCTCACTATTTCATTTCATAAAGATGGATGCAGCTGGACAGGAAAGAAGTAATTTCTCTACTTTCTGGAATTTTTATTATAGGCTAGTGCACAGGCTAAATATTACTGACACTTTAGTGTTTGAAAATCAAATGTAATTGCAAATGTAAACTACAGACTATCACATAAGAAGCTAAAATAAGGCTGATGTTAACTTGCAATCATGTAGCCTTACTAGAAGTAATCCCACTGTTACAAAAAAAAAAAAAAAAAGAAAAAGAAAGGGAAAAGAAAAGACATATACAACAAATTGAGAGCAGTGATGATGCTTCAATTTGTTGGTTTTCCTTAGGCTTTAAGAAAGAGGAAGACATTAAACCATTTTACGGTTAAAGAAAAACCTTCTGGGCAGAACATTACTTGTGATTTGTTGGCTATGGCTTACTTGTTTTTTGTTATTAATCTCACAATACCTTGAGAGAAAAGTGCATGCTGCTGCTGTAATCTGCCTACAGGTTAGGTGATGGGGTTTTCTAGAAGACAGGGTCCCTGTGTTTGCTGCAAAGACATAGTACTGCAATTTAGGAGGCCTCCGCTGTGATGACTGAGCTCTTGTAGGAAAAGAGAAGCTCCTGTTGAGCTTCTGTACAATTATCCTCCTAGAAAAGGATAATTTAGGAAAAAAAAAAAAAAAAAACAAACCAGAGATTTCTGAAGCAGGGATGTCCAATCTGGCAGTTTTCCATACCACTGTAATAAGTGTAAGAGGCTGATTTGAAATTCTTCTCAGATCAACATTTCCTAGTATATAAGCAACAACCTGGCATGAACCTTACTGAAAATAACAGTGGGGTGCCTTCATCCCAAGGCTTACACAGAAAACTGAGGTTCCATGCAACGCTGCAGACTACTCAACAAATGGAACTTTACGTTGCTCTGCATCATAACACAAAGATCTTTCTGCTACTTTGAACATTAATGACCAGCCAAAATTCACAGAGGTGTTTTAACTCTAAGTCCTAACCATGGAAACAATCTTGCCCAGAAAAGGGTAATCGCATAGTGAACATTAAAAAGTTACCTATGACAGGTGCTGGTATGCTAAAAATCTGAAACAATTTAGAAAGTCAGAGTTTGGGCTTGCACTTACATTTAGACTTTGTTTTCTTAACATCCGTGAGGCTATGCATTGAAACCCTAAAGTGGCATATTCACTGATAGTAAGTATAACACTCTTTTGCATTTATTTTATACATGATAGCTTACTTATTTGCTCAAATCTGAACAGAAAAACTGCACTCTGGGCTTTCATTTGTTCATGTTGGACAACATCAGAGTTAGCAAGCACTGGGAAGAGACTTCTTCTAGAAACATCCTCAGGCCATACTTAGTGCAAATTAATTAAAAGCAATCTTTCCTGAGAGCCCACCCAAAGATGGTGCCCACAGGCTACTGCAGTGTAGAAAAGCTGTAATTTAGATGTCATACAAAATACAGATTTACACTCATTAAGAAATACACTTGGGGAAAAGTAGGAACGTTTTCTGTGCTCTCAGAAAACAAGGGAAGTGTTTCAAAGCTGGGCACTGAATGTATTACTCATTCTTGAAAAAGCAATTCAATGGAATCAAAGAGCCAGAATTAAATTGGTAACAATCTTTTTGAAAATTAATAAAAAATCAAAGAAGTGTCTGAAATAATTGGCAAGATGGCAAGGTTTCAAGAGCTGAAGGGTCTTTCCAGTTTCATTTCCAATGTCATGAAATCCTGAAACTTCATAAATAGGTTTTGTGTCAAGCGTATAGATAATTTACTAAGATTATTCATCACTGTTCTTTTTGCTTCTGTTTCTACAGCTTTCATTCATGTCTCAGATCTCCTCAGATGTGCTCTGAAATCATCTCTGTATTTCCTGTTCTCCCTGTCTGTGCTTCCCCTGTTCATTTTTTTCTGCTATGACTCTGATGCCTGAATATTTCCTTTATACAAAACCAGAGCTACCTGCCATTCACGTCACACATCGACTCCCCACTTGGAGGATTAAAACTCACCTTGTGTTTTAGGAAACAGAAAGGCATGGTAAGAAACTCCTTCATTCCCTGCCTATTTTTAGCTGTGGAAGGAAGTATTCACTCAGTCCTGAAAGCTGGCCAGTGCAGAGAACCAGGGTATGCTCTGAAATGTATACAGTTTTTTTCAACTGGAACTTTGGTGAACAGAAAAGTCTTATAGGATGCAAGGAGGCTCATGAAAAATGAAGAAGACAAAGAAAATCTCAGCTTTTTTGATAAATGTCTTGGTCTGTTGAATATATTGTGTCAAAATTCATTCAGAATTTCTCAAAATGACAAGCACTGAAGTTAGGGCAAATGTTCACATGTGTTTTAAAGGGAGCTGGGACTAACCCCAAGTTCCGTTAGCTCTTGTCCATTTCAGCAGAGCTACGATCACAATTGTCTCTGTAAGGATCTTCCTACCTACTGTGCCCTATACATAATTCTGGGATATTTGTAACATAATATGCGTAGCATTATGTTCTGTCAGAAAAATAAAAGAAACTATAAAAAATAACCAAAGACTTCTTATGCAGCAAAGAAGTCCACCGCACAAATGCATTTGAAAAAATAGATGAACATCCAGTTTGTTCCTACTATATCCAAGCCACATTTTCAACTCCTGATTCTGATTCCAAAGCACGAGGTCACCATAACAGTGATGTGACCCCGGTCACCAGCAACATATTTAGCTATTATAGAAAGTCCTGCCCCCAACTTCAAGCTCTGACACAGTCTTGATCCCTGAAGCTTTCAACCCCAAAGGTAAAAACCTATTTCCAATCTTTCTCTTCAGCCAATTAAATAGATTATTTCAGGAGTCTTTTTGGCTTAAAATGACTACCTAGAGGACATTTTCAGTGTTTGTTTTCTCTTTCTAACTTGATTACCTATGGAACAAGAGAAGCTGAGACACTGATTGCCTTGCAGTCATTTAGAGGAATATCTTTTCAAGATTGTTTTTAAGACATTGGAGTAACGCTTGGATGCTCCTGTGTGTACTGGATTGCATTTATCTGACTGTATTTAACTGCATAATCTTATACAGAACAGTACTTGCTGTATATACATATCTATGTATATCCCTATATGTACTTACTCATAGGTAATCTATATGTGACAATGCAGCCATTCTAATTTACATTGTTTATAAATCCTACATAATTAGTGCAATCTTGAGAAAAATTACAATTAGTTTATTAGCTGTATGCTAAGTTTGGTAGAGCATTAAGCCATCAATAACAAGGAATAACAGAACTCTAATAACTGAGGATCCTTGTTTTCTGCTATTGCAAGTATTCCTTCATATTAAAATTTCTCCATTTCTGCATATATAGTATGTTTACTGAAAAGTGGGGTTCATGTCACCTAATCCCAAAGAAATGAAACCTAGATGTCAAAGACCATCAGCAAGTTCACTCAGCTTTAGCCCTAGCCGTTGTTCTTGGAGGGTTTTACCTCTTCCCAGTAGTATTGAAGGAGGATAAATGAGTAGCTTTAGACAAGATTCCTGATTATAGATAGATAATTTTAGGTGGTTAATCTAAACTCCCCCATAAAGCTTTCCTTAATGATCAATGAAGGCGGTAAAACAGTTTCAGGGAAGTATTCCTCCTACCTCCCTCAGACACCTATTTGAGGACAGTGACTCAATGTACAGGAGCGTGTGTCCCCCATTAATTCTCTACAGGCTAATGAAACACCTAAACAGACCAATTCTTCTACACCTTCAGTTCCCTATGGAGGGTAACTTAAGGTCTGTAAGGACTAGATCCCTAGAAGAAACATGTATGTCCCTCCAACACAAATCAGCCCACACTAGCTATATCAGAAATTTAGGCACCCAGTTCTGTTTTATAGGGAGTTAAATGTCTTGCTATGGATTTAGATCCATATGCTTATTACCACAATAAATGCTTTATTAAAGTAAATATATAGCTCAACAACAACCCATCTATGTTTCCATTCTCACTTCCAATCACTAGATCAAACTGCACCCCTTCCACAGAAATGTGAAAAGCTGTTACATGTTTGAAGCAGCAGTAGTTTAGCTCAGAAGGAAAGACTGAGTGCAGCCTTTTCTGTTCCACATCCCCGGTTTCCTGAGACTCTGAACTCTTTAAGACAGGGAAAAAAAAAGTCATTTTTACACATTTCAGCACCCACTGCTCCCTGTTCCTTATCACTTACAAGCAAATGGTAATTTTTAATGTCAAGGACTCTATTCTGCAAGGCACAAAGTATTATCCAGCAACATACAGCTCCCTGTAGAGCTGATAGGAGGTAAAAGTATCCAGTTTCACAGAGAAAGTTTTCAGGATTACACTTCTGGTTTATTTTCATATCTGAATAATAAATTTTTTGCAGAATCCACACTAGAATTATTTTTTTGGTCTGACATTATCCTTTGAAATATGAGAGAACTGTTTACTCAATGCACCCTATGGGTGTCTGGCCTTCCCTGACTGTCTCACTTAGGGTGCAAAGCCTCTCACTAGACCTAGAGACATGAAAGCCACTGATATTTAGAGCACCGACTCTTATCGACATGTAGTTGGATTTCATACATGAGCAATAGTTTAAGGCCAAAAGCTACATAGAGCATACCATTTGTAGAATTTCTTTTATTATGGGCACAGTCTGCTGCTGTGCATGGCATGATGCACGGCAGCCCACAGATGTGCATGATAAATCACTTCAGGTTAGCTCCATTGCTGACAGCTGCAAGAACAAGTTGTGATTCTATTACGTGTTAAAAGCCTAGTCCAGATGCTAAAGACGCTCTGCCTGTAGCAGTATAACACTTTAGGTTCACCAGTTTCCCCTAAAAGAAGGGTATTACACGAGAATAACCGTACGTGGCAAGACAAAGACCTATATCCTATCACTTGCACATAAAGCTGTATAAATACAGAGGAAAGAATGAGTTCCAGAGGATATGAGGTACAGGTGTGAAAATGTACATCCTATCTTTAACCTTTTAAAACTGAAGGGTCACGGCCAGTCGGTAATCATCTAGGCTCTCACTATTATCAGGGGAAGAAAACAGAACCACCCTGTCTTTCTCAGGACAAGATGAAATGCCTCCCAGTAAGGTGACTATTTCTCCTTTGGCTACCACAGGATTCTGAATTCCAGCCTACACTAGGCATTTAACTGTGAAATGGTTAAAGTTAGAATTAATAAGTCCCTGGGAATCACACACATAGAAAGATTTCCAAACAAACACTTTTCCTGAGGCTGAAGAGTTGGGGGGGGGAAGGATGTATAACTGTACTTGTAATTACACTAGCTTTTGCTATCTAGCCCAGGCAGTGCCAGCATTAGAACATGGGGCTTAGGGAGGGATATATGTGCTTGAATTGTGTCTCTATGCTCATACATCTTCCCTGATGTTTAATGTTACAATCTCACCTGCTGCCTCCAGTGCATAGCAGACATGATGGTTCATTCTGCTGCTTGGTGATATTATAAGCAGATGCCTCCAGCAGTAAATACATCAGTGGCCTCTCAAAGAGGTAAATGTCTCAGACACATAAGGAGGAACTATTCCTTTTTAATTCTCTTCCTTCTTTAGCAAAGTTGCCTTTCTCAGGACAACTGGGACAGAGAGCTGTCCCCTTCTGTCCCTCTAAAGGCATGCTACAGCTATTCTGATTTAGTGATGCTTTTCTGTCCTTTGGAAACTGCAATTCTAATGAATGGAAATGAAAAGACATTTATAAATAGCACCTCAGGGCTGGAAAAAAAAAATAATAAAGAGATGGGTCAAGCCTCTAACTCAGGATTATTTTTTTCTTTCCTCTCCTACATCCCCATCCCCCTGTTTATAATTCCCTCCTTATTCTTCTTTCTTTCTACCTGCTCCCTGTTATGAGAAAAGTTACCCTGCCTCTGCAGACATGCCTCCCCGGATCCTGCAGGGCAGCTGCAGTGCCGTCCAGCTGTGGGCAATAGTTTCAAGAGCCAGCTCTGTGGTCCACCGCCCCACCCCCTCCCCGAAATTCCGCCGGGCACTCACCGGCGGGAGCAGCAGCCAGCACAAACTTCGCATCCTCCGCAGCAGCCGACAGGTCCTCCCCGCTCTCTCTGCTTGCTGTGAAGCTGCCAAAAGCCGAAGCTCGGCCCGCCTCCACCTGCCCAAGACCCGCCTCAGAGAGCCTTGCACCTCCCTTACCGGACACCCCGATCCCTCCCGGGGGAGCCCGGCACTTTCGCGCCCCACGGTACCAAGCTTGCAGAGGAGGGAAGGAGATTCCCAAGCATCCCCCCTTGGGATTTTGGACCCATCAGTAGGAACAGCTCCTCTGGTCACCCACCTGCTGGGAGCTGGAGCAGTTTGAGGGTCTTTAAGGGTGTGTTTGGAAGCGCACTCCGCAAGAAAATATGCTGGGTTCACTGCCCTGCTAATGCGGCCATGCTTGTGGCTGGTGGCAGCAGGTTTCAAAGGATCTGGGCGTTAAGTGGGTCTGACAGCATGGTATTCCCTGGGGACTCTAAAAGATGGAGTTTCTGTGTTTTGGTATCTCTCTCTTCTCAGATGGAAAATTTCAAGCAGTGACAAAGAATTTCCTACACAACTTGAATAAGGTCTTTCTGGCCCCCATGTTAAAAAGGTGACTCAAATGTAGCTTTATTTCTTGGTGAAATAGTTAAAACTCTTCTTGCTTATTTCTTGGATTGTTTTGAGGGGGATGAGAGGGAGGAAAAAAATGTTAGTAATTTTTTAAATGTCAGGGTGCATAGGACCTAGGCACCAGTTCTGGGCTTTGCCACAGTAAATATTGCACCAATATTTATGGCACCGACTATTTCTGAGCCTGGGAGAATAGAACTTGTGGACATGAAAAAAAAACATTTTTTCTGGATAAGATTTTAGTGCTATTTCATACCCTGTTTATCATTCATTATTTCTCAATGGTGTTAAACACAAAAGTTCTGTATATTCAGAAGAAATTCAGGATTCACCTATGTTACCCCAAAACAAGCATCTAATACCATTAGAGGAAATACAGATTTCTGCAGCTTTCTCTATAAATGTATAACTATCTTGTAAGTTCTGTATTTTTTTTTGCTAGCTCCACCTAGATATTTCAGATATACAGGGGCACCTTGAGTGACATTTCTTACCTATTTTTAAGAAACTAAGTCATGTCAGTGTTATCTATTCATCTCTTTGCACCCTGACAGTCCTGACTACTTCACTCTGTTGTAATGGGAATCTAGACAGCTTGTAAATGTTTGGACAGCTGTGTTAAAATGCTGAAATCTGAGTGTTTTGTGTCAGGATGCACCCTACCTTAGTCTTGCAAATCAAAAAAATATGTGTTTAAAATCAAATATTATCCCCAGGCTCATGCTAGATAGCCAGTCAGTTCTACAACTTGTGCTGAATAAAGAGGATGACAAAGGGATAGATCAGCGGGATAATATTTGTAACCCAATATTCATTTACCCCTTTTTTTCTATACGTTTGTCTTTCATTAGTGCATAATGTCATCTCATCACTTACCTGTACAGATAAGCCTCAAATGCTACTCCAAAACTCAAGTTTGTTATAAAATAGATTAAAACATTAAAAAAAAAAAAAAAAAGTCTGATTTTGACTGTTTCCCCATCTGTTACAGATGAGTTAAAGCTGTGGCCAACTTTCACTAGTCAACAAGGTGGTTCTTGTCACGCTGGAATAATTTTTAGGATACAACTACAAGGCAAGTACCACAGGGTATCAGGCAGTTCCTAATTCTAATGCAAATTAAAATGCAACGTAGAGGCCTATCAAATACCCCCAAGATAGGAACAGATTATAATTCCTTCTGAACAGTATTCAACCAAATTCAGTGTAAAATATCATAGAATAACAGAATAATTTAGGTCAGAAGAGACCTACAAACATCTGGCCCCAACCATCTCCTCACCTCAAAATAGGTCAGATTGCAAAGTCAGGTCATGTTGCTCAGGGATTTGGTTGCTGTGTTTCAAAAAGGTTGATCTCAAGAGTCACAATGTAAACACAAAGATGCAATTAATTTAGTATCTGCATAGCATTCCCATCTACAACATTTCAGCTGGATTCCATTATTTAAGGCCTCTCAGGTCATTTTCATGAAGTCTTTTTGGTCTTCATAACCAGTCTCCAAGTTTGGAGAAAACCTAAGTGAGAAGCATTACTTTTGGTATTTTTTTTTTGTATAGTTTCATGATGGGTGTTTGTAAGCAGTCCTTAGGAAACGGCATTGCTTCCTTTGGCAGATATTGTCTGTCAGTGCTTCCTTACATATTTTCTCTCTTTCTGCTTTTCCTGTCTGATCTCCAGCTCTTCTGAAAAACAGACCGCATTCCAATCCTTGAGCTCTAAATTAATTATCTGGAGACTTCTCTTATAAGAGTTTTTGACCATGTTAATCAAGAGAAAAAAGCCTGCTCTTGTTGGGTTTTTGTAACAATTCACTCTAGTTAATGTTATAAACCTTGCCTACATTAAAGTATCAGAGTTCCTTAGTCTACTTATATTCTTTCATTACTTTAAACAGTTCCTTTTGTAAACTGAAACCTAATTTAGTCTAAAACCTGATTTCTTTTTATCATATTCATTTACTTTATTCATTCTACTCTGTTATTTCTCTGCATGTACCCAAAGAAGATCCAATAATAAAGTAATGCAGGAAAGTAACCATACTTCTCATAATCTCATGTATGCTTTGATGCATTTTGCTACTTTTTGTCACAAAAATAGTTCCTTGCCTAATAAACTGGCTATAACAAAGCTTTTTTTTTTTCTTTCTTCAGCAATTATAATATTGCTAATCTAAGATAAGGATCATATTCATTTTCCTGCCTCTTACAGCACCAATGTAGGCTCAGAATATAACTCTGATGTGCATAAAAATGTCCTGTTGTTAACATCAACAAGCAATCAAGCCATCTCTACAGTATGAAACTTAATCAATAAAGCAATAGACCTGAGATTCTTCCTAATCCCCATCATGGATATTCTGAATCAACTGATACCATTTGATGAAAATGACTTGACATTTAGTGAGCTACTTAGAACCTCCGCAGAAGCTGGAAAAAGTTTTTTTGATACCAAATATACCTGAATAAGGCTTTTCCATAACAGAAATCTTTTGAAATGCAGCTGTGCTTCTGTGTGCATATACAAGCACCTCTTTAGACAACAAAAGTGTAGAGCACTGGCACCACATTGCAATATGAACCATCAGCCAGAGAATAAAGATGAATCTATTGACATTTCTAAACAATCTTTTGATAAATCTGAAGAAAGATGCAAAACAAAAAGCCCTGGGAATATGGGAAGAAGGCTGCAATTACTGAAAGCACATAATCCAGTAGTTAGACAGAATATGACATTACCGAGAAACATATTGCATCTATAACTGAAAGCAAAACTCCACTGTATTTTAAAAATTGTATATAGGAAAGATAGAAGCTTTATTCCTGAGGATGATCTCTGTGTGATTTTTGAGAGAGTAGGATGAAGGCAGGAAGCTAAAACAGCTGAAGGAATGCATTGGTTTTGAGACTAAAAAGGTAAGTCATTAAATATCAGAAAACAAGTACTTAGAGATGCATGATAGTTTTTCCAATTCATTTTCTTTGTGTGCACTCCCTGTGTTATCCACTTTCTATTTTGATTAGGTAAAGTTGACTCCTGCTGTGCTGGGGCTCTCCCTCCCTATGTACACATAGTCTGTTGCTGCTACTTGGCTGACTCCAGGAATGCCATAGAAATACAGGCAGAGTTTGTCACACAGTCATGGACACTTGATTCATATGTATTCAGTCCCATGTGTTTTAATCTGTAAACTTAATTCCATCCAAGCACCTAAGATGCTTTCTAAATTTGAAAAATATATTTTGTCTGTACCTACTTACCACAAACATACTAATTAGAGTCTTTTAATAAACTCCTTTAATGATTTTAGCATTTCTACTTAAAAAAATTCCACACAAAACTGTTAGTGATCCCTTCTCTATTTCTTTTGTATTGCATCTCTTGAATAAGAAAGTAATTTTTCAAACCTAAGGAGTTACTTCTCAGTGATACACAATGCAATCTTCATTCCTGTTAATAGTCCTTAAAGAGTTGACAAACCAGCTGTTCCTGTTCTCAAAAATAGTTTTGTGCATTATATTATTCGTTTGTTTTCTTGCTTTCCTCTGGCCGTTTCAACTCCATTTCATTTCTGTTTGTTTTTCAATATGAGTAGATCAACACTGATTTTTATTCACTAATATATGGTTTTAAGACTAAAATTGCTCCCCTTATGGGGCCAATGAAAGGTCTATTTTTCTTCTAAGTATAGGTTGAGCCTACAAAATCAAAGATACGTAAAAAAAAAGAGCATAGAAGTTCAATTACTAGTGTATACTAGTGTCTGCTTTTTTTATGTTTAACAAAAAGCAGGGCATCTTTTGTCCAGACATTCTCTTTCATTATGCCAATTTCTCCACTGATTGTAGAAAGGGCTCAGTTAGAAAGTTCACCCCTATAGTAGCACTTGTCTTATCAAATTTCAGGTATTAAGAATATAAATGTGAACTGATTATTCCATCTTATTTTCATAGTCACAGAAACCATTAAATTCAATTTGAATGATATAATTTAGTTTTCTACAGAGGACAACTTAGTAAATTCCTCAGAATTTACTCCTCTCCAGCATCTCTAAAAGGAGGATAGAATTATCGCCCAGATGTAGATGTTTATTTTAAGGGTGAAAATCCACACACTGGTATGGATAGCTAATGCAGGCATCTATCTGGATGTGTAAGCTGGAAAAGTGAACTCCTGCTGTGGTTAATAACCAGTCTAAACGAATTACATAGGCTTCCTTTAGAGTTAAGGGAATGTCACAGAAAATTCCTGTTAGATACTCATTTGTACTGAATTTGGGTGGGAGGTACTGAATCCTAAGTTATTTTGTCTCTCAGAAGTGACTTCAAAGGGAGATGCGAGGTGGAGTTGTTAAAGAATTGAGAAATGTAGGTATTAATACGTAGGTGTCTAGATGCAGATTGCACGGTTAAGCTTCCTTTGGGGTCACAAATAATTTAAAATGGCACCTTCATTTAGCCTGTTGACTGTTCTTTAGGATACATTGACTGTATTGACTAAGATCCCATACAACTTTACACTTCAAGGCTCAATTAAGTTGCCCAGTAACAGGTGACCTGTGCTAATTGAGATCCCTTAATATATTTAACATTCACAGGAGGCTGGCAGATATGCAACATGGGCACTGAAGGCACGGTAGGTTGAGGCTACCTGTGTAAATGGAAGTAGATTCCTTTGTGTGGGAAAATGAATCAAGGCCTGAAATCACATTAGATATCTGGTTTAGGTTGACTTTTAA